CCGATCCTCCTCCAATCGCACCCCCTCGAGCAGCCTCTCCCTGCAATGGGGCAGGGTTGCTTGAATCACCGGAGCCCCTCGTCCCCGGAAACCGTTGAGCACTCCTGCTGATGTCCTCCCAGGTGGCATCCGACTGATGAACCACCCGCTGTTTCGCAGCTCCACGTCCATCAACCTCCCCAGGGAGACGTCCTTCCGGTCCTCCTGCAGCAGCACCCCCTCGAGCAGCCTCTCCATGCAATGGGGCCGGGTCACGTGCGCCGCCAGACCTGCTCATCTCTGCAGACCAATGATGAATCCTGCTGGTATCCTCCCAGGTGGCATCATGCTGACGCAGACTCTGCCTCGCTCGCTCTCGGGACCCCACAGCCAGCGGTGCTGCAACTGCTGAAAGAGAAGTGCACGGCTTAAGTCGGTTGAAATGAATCACCTTCTCAGGACTCCCCTTAATGGGTATAAGCCTGTATAGCACATCTGTCAGTCGCTCAAGAACCCTAAACGGTCCTTTATATCGACTCTGCAGCTTGGGACACACCCCTCGCCTCCTCAGCTTATTTCGGACCCACACCAATTCACCTTCTGAGTAGAACTGGCAGGTGGCCCTAAAATCATAGGCCCTCTTTTGTTGCGCCGCGGCTCTGCTCTGATGGCGTTTCACTGCCTCTACCACCGTAGTTAAGGTTTCCTGCAAACCTGTCACATACTCATCTACTGAGGGAAAGAGTTCTCCCTGATCCAGGCCCAACATAACATCAACAGGCAGTACGATCTCCCGCCCGAACAGAACCTTATAAGGTGTGACAGATGTGCTAGCATGAACACTACTTCTATAAGCCAACATTACTTCTTACTTCATCTGACAGCCACCCATGTCCACATAGTGTACGAAAAGATGTATCATACAGTTTATATGGACCAACCAGGGCTTCTATTTGGCCAGAGTCTTTCAAAGACCAAAGTTTAAGTACTGCAAAAAAAAAAAGGTAAATATATAAATAAATATTTTAATGCTTAGCAAAGTACAACATTTTTTAGGAACAATGGGAATTTGTGCAAACATGAGCAGTAGCAGGCAGTAAACAAACATGCAGTGAACGAACATGCAAATAACTGACCAACCGGTCTGAACCAATGGCCAACAGGGCCAAAAACTTTTTTTGGTTTGCGGTACTACTGCACCTTGCCGCTGCAATGTTTTCTGGGACATCATGGGAGGGGGCGAAGGAGATGTCTTGAAAGGGAGTGAGGGCGGAGTCTTGGGACGGGGTGAGGGAGACATGCTCAGAGGGGGTGAGGGAGATGTCTTGGGAGGGGGTGAAGGAACCCTCCAGGGAGAGAGCGAGGGAGACATGTTTGAAGGGGGTGAGGGTGATGTCTCAGGAGGGGGCGAGGGAGATATTGTGTGAGGGTGTGAGGGAGACATCCTGGGAGGGGGCAAGGGAGACAACTTGGAAAAGGGAGGAATCACCTTGTCGGAGTGCTGATTTTGAGTTTTCCCCACCAGATGGGTTTTGCCCACGTACTTAATAACTGACTCCCTCTCTTGCTTCTCACTTGATTCAAGTTTTTGAAATTTTGTTGGTGGTTCATCTGGCCCAGCTTCCTTGTGTCCCACATTGCCTCTTTTGTAGGGCTTTAGGTGAGTAATGTTGTGCTTTGTTTTCAAGTGTTTCCCTGTCATAGTTGTCAGCACAGCAGTCTTGCCCAAGAGTTGCTGGATTGTGTATGGGCCAGAATAGTCACGCTCCATCCTGGCTCCTTTTCTACTTCTTTTTCTTACATTGTACAACAGCACCTCTTTCCCTTCTTTGAATGTAAAATGTTTGTATTTTTTGTTTGCCCTATTTGCATATGCTTCCTTCATTTTCTGTTGAGCCACTTCCACATTTTCTTTTACCTTCTCATTTCGGTCCTTTTGTACTTTTTCTTGCTCATTTACATATTCGCTGTATTCCGTTGGAAGGATAATAGATGACAGCTACATTGCAAAAACAGATCATGTTTTTGCAATACAAATGTTACACATTTAGACACTGTTATAAAAACATTACTGTTAAAAGATTCTATGTCTGAAAACAATTACAAGTATTTACAAAATCAGCGTGTATATTAATATGTTAGTACAAAGGAAGATTCCAACATAACTCATGACAGGCAGACTCTTACCGGCATTTCAACGGGAAGTTCACATGGGAACCTTGCCTCTCTTCCATACATTAGGTAGAATGGTGAGAATTTTGTTGTGGTGTGCATTTTGGACCTCAGTGAAAACAAAGTGGCATCTAGATACAGATCCCAGTCATCCTGCCTTTCATTAACAACTTTTCTGAGGGCCCTAGAAAAAAGAGTTTCATGCTTCAATAAGAAACACTTGAATTTCAATACATCTGTGAAATATTTATTCTCATTTTCTAGAGTCACAAAGCCATAGATGAATGAATACATGCAAATTATTTTAACTCAGTGAAGTCTGAGACCTAACTTTACAAATACAGGACATGTTAAGCTGTGGCAAGGTGGCGAAACGAGGGCCCGGGCAAGATTCGATTCCCAGTCTCCCGGGTGAGAGTCATGCCAGTCAGCCAAACGGATCTCCCTTTGGCTGACTGGTTAGCATGCACGACTCACCCGGGAGACTGGGAATCGAATCCCGCCCGGGCCCTTGTTTCACCACCTTGCTTCAAAGCAATTGTCAAAAGAAGTTAAAACAAGACACTGCTGTAATTGTTTTCTCACCGTTTAATGTTGTCATTTGTTTTTTCATCCAATCCATTAGTCTGCGGGTGATATGCTGCTGTCACACTCCTCTCAACTGAAAGGAGCTCACATAGTTTGCTGTTGATCTAAAAGAACAATGAGGCACATTATAATTAGTTATTTTAAAGATTTGACTTTTAGGCCAAATAAAAATTTATATTAAACATAACTTACTTGATTCACAAACTCTCGCCCTTGGTCTGTAAGTATGCGCAGAGGACAGCCATGCCGATAAAAAATCATGCATAAAGTTTGGGAGACTTCCTCTGCAGACTTGGTTTTCAGAGGGAAAGCCTCCACCCACTTTTAAAAATAATCTGTGGCTGTCAATATGTACTTGTAGCCAGAAGGGGTCTGGGGAAGCGGACCTGTCAGATCCATTCCGACCAGCTCCAGATACCTGTTGGTGATAGATTAAATGTTTATGAACAGAAGTAACAGAGAAGTAATAAACTAACAGAATTACAATGGACAGTCACCTTGATGCAATCCAGTGTTTCGACTACCTTCAGTGGAGGTCCAACTCTTTGGCAATGGTCACATTCAGAGCTAGAAAATGTATTTTGTTTTATGAAATTTATAAATATTGTATATTAGAGATTGCTAACAATGAGGTAACGTACCCATTTCTCAATGTCTGCAGTCATACCATGCCAATAAAATTTAGAACACAATGATTTGCGAGTTTTCACAATGCCACTGTGTCCTCCCATTTTTGAAGAATGGATTTCCCTAAAGTTGGTCCAAGCCTCCTCTTTTGATTTAATGGCTTTTCGCCTAGGCAAAGGTCCAAAGAATAGACCCCCAGCTTTATTGAAAGAATTTACACATTAGTCATATGGCGTATTATCAGAAAATGTGGTGTATGCTTAAATCTTAACAACTTACCATGAATGCTGAATTTAGAGGCATATTTCCTTAGGGTTTGCCTTTGTCCTTTGGTGTAGTGCAGCGGATAGGAACCCTTGGTAAGGAGATTAAATATCTCATCCCATCTGCTTTCCATTTTACTGTAAAAATGTAAACAAGGAAGTAATTTGAAAATTAAACCTTCTGATTTAAAAAATAATAATTATACAGTCAATTATGTTCATATACACTCAATACAACCGCATGTTGAGGAAGTAAATTATTATAAATATGACGAGGCAGCATTCAAACAATTTTTTACTTCTAAAATGTTTCTTATCTAAAGACTGAAGACATTTATTTGCCATTTGCACACGGGTCAACAGTCCCTGCACATTGGAATTCAGTGTTGTATGTGCACATAGTCCATGGAAGGAAGTGTTATTCCTATGATCCTCTCTGCAGACTTTATGACTCTTTGTAGAGCTTTCCTCTCTGTCTGTGTGGTATTTCCATACTTATACCATTCTTATCTGTGTGCTTCCTTACAAAATTATGATTTATGGGTAGATACATAAAAGAAATATGGTTTTTAACATGTTGGTTTACGTCTAGATTTTTTTCTGCTTCCTGGTTTGTAATTTTGAATCACATTCCTGCGTTTTTAAACAAGCAGCAAAATAGTTTAAGTAAGCAGAAAAAAAGTATAAAAAACTCACTAACACAGTAGTCAGACATGTTCAAATAAAACTAGTCAATTATTTCATCATATTTGTAGTCAAAAACAAAACTTTTTCAGGAGGAACACGGAATTAGAAACGTGTTCATATTATATGAATCTATTAAAATAGCCCCTTTCGTCTTTAAAATGCTTACTTTAATTTCCTCACGGACTGTATAATTGTTGGTCTTGTATTGTTTTTTTTTACTTCTTGTTACTATTAGTATGTTTCATAGCCGATTACATGACGTTCAGGCATCAAAGTTTAGTTGTTTCATCAGCGATTACATTACGTGCAGAAATTGGCAGTCAAAAGAATGCACTGCACACTGAAAACTGTGACTAAGGTGCAAAATATATCAATTAATGTGTTAATATTAAAGAATATAAATGAATTACTTACATTTTACTCGTAGTTTCACTTTTTCGCCGATCTTTTCCAGTGCTTATGCTCATCTGAGGCCTCTGTAGAACGTGCCGGAGTTGTCGAGTAATGAGCATGCGCGCACATGCGCATTATCTGCAAGTATGCTCCTCTGACAAGTATGGTGTTCTGATACAACACCCCGGCTCCCGTCGTTCACTTCAAAGAGCCGGCTCTTAGAGCCGCTTCGTTCGCAACCGACACATCACTATTGTTTTGAACGGTTCAACTTTGGAAGCCATCGAGACACGACCTAGAAGCTGTGCTGTTCTGAGATAACTCGGTGGACTTGGTGAGTTTTGGTAGTCAGTAGTCGGTAGTACAGTCAGTAACGTAGTTGGATCTGGAACATTTACCGTCTTTAGTGAGTGGAGCAGTTCACTTGGTGAGTGGACACCGTTTCTTTGTGAGGGAAAGCACGCTAGCGGCCTAATGGAGTTAGCATTATGCTATCGCTAAATCGCGAGTGGGGTTTTCCCTGCTTAAAATCAACAAACTATTTTATTACCGTTAAATAGTTTTAATAAAGAGATCCCTAGAACAGGCGCGCGCACATGCTGGATTTAGTGAGCCACCAGACAGAACTAAACAGGAGAAACCGTTGTTAGTATTTTTGTAGAGCATCCATCTTCTATTTAGTCTGTAGCTGGAAGAACAGAAGAGAACTCTGTGAACTCTGGTGAGCAAAGGTCCTCTTTTCCAGACTGGATCTGTCCTCAGCTGATCAGAACCAAAGCGTTGGATCTTTAATCTCCTGCGTTGTTCTGAAGCAGCATCTTAATCAGCTCTCCTGCTTTGTTTCTATTGCAGCTGTTAGCTAAACACGGCTAAAGAAAACCTGCTACCACTTCAGGATCATCCATCAGCTGGGACTGATTCATCGTGTGTTCTTCACCACCTGGACCTGGACAGCATGGACACAGGTAGGGCTGCCACCTTTCAGATATGTAAATAAGTAAATGAGTTGGAGAAGTGGTTTTTCTCTTAGACAGCTGTGTTATTCACACAGGTGTGAAACATCTGTAAACGCCAGATCTGGTGCAGGAAAATGGCTGAACAGGAAGTGGGGACACACTTTGCCTTCTGCGGTTGTAAGTGATAATAATAATAATAATAATAATAATAATAATAATAATACATTAAACTTGTCTAGGGCTTTTTAGGTCAGTCAGGCTTCACAAAAAATGCAATAAACACATAATAAAACAACATGAAACATAGTAAACAGACTGGGGGATGCTGGGTTGATCTTAAGAGAAGGCCAATTTAAAGAAGTGGGTTTCAAGCAGTGACTTAAAAGTAGAAAGAGAGACGGCGTTCCTGATGTTTAGTGGGAGAGAGTTCCAAAGTGTGGGGGCAGCGGCTGCAAAGGCTCGATCCCCCATGGTGCCATGTTTTGTTCTGAAAGGGGAAAGGAGGTTGGAGTCAGCAGAACGGAGGTGCCGGGAAGGAGAATGGCGATGGACTGATTATCTTTTTGATTTAAAAGTTGTGAAACTATTCAGTATATCCGTGCTGCAATAAATGGTCTGCAGCGCTAAAGACAAAAACAAAATGCTTACTACAGCCTCCACATGTGACTCCAGAGAGCAGTCGCTAAGTCAGCATGCAGCTCAGTGAATTTAATGTCCTAGTCGAGTGGGTGGTGGTCTTATGGAAACATGAGAGCAAGTCAAACTGCAGCTTTAAGAGCACTCTGAAATTATGACACGTCTCTAAATAAAGTAAAATTTTCTAGTGCAGAGTGGAGACAACCCATAGAAGCACTGATTTGATCTCATTTCAGAGAAAAATAGAACAGGTTAGATGCACCTAATAAATAAAATGATAACAAACTCAGGAATCTGTTTCTTTGCTTCACTGTTCTGGTGCTGAGAATATCACTAATGCGGACCAAAGGAGATCCACAGATGAATGCACCTCTTATTTATTATTTGGAAACTACATTTACTGCAGCTGGCAGAGGCAGAGATTTTTTCTGTTGATACACGAATTTACAGAATCATTTTAAATGTTAATAGGGGAAGACTGCAGGAGGGAGCGGTAAAATACAGGGGGTCCCCAGCAAAAACAAACTTTACGAGCCTGATGAAACCTGCTGGTTTTCCATCAGGCAGTCACGGGGCAGCTCCAACGACCCAGTGGCTGTGCTGGGTCAATGTTATCGAGCTCAGTCGAGGCGACGTCGTGCTCTGCTTAAGAAGAGGTGTTATTTTCCCACTTCAGAAGAAGGTTCCAACGTGTTTTTACGCTTTCTCCGAGACATGTCATGTCGCTAAGTTGTTAGCGCCGCGCGCTAACACATCAATAGTGCAGCGTAGCCTGCTGGAGGTTTTAAGGGTTCAGATGAAAACACCGGACCTCTCAGGCTGCTCACACATCGATCTTAAGTTGTCGCTGTTGCGCTCACATCGTAATACAGTATTAGATGCGGTTAAAGTCAAACATGAAAAAATAAAATAAATTTTACATGAATAAGTGATGCTTATCCTGGTGGGGAGAGGAAACCCTGTCAAGATCGTCAACGCTCGTTTATCTTAATGCTATTGAAACATGTAAACCAAAAAGCATTATATCCACTGCTACCTTTATGCTGTAACTTCACCCTGCCCTGCCTGCTCCTCCTTGCTGCCTGCCGGCTGTGATCACAAGCGACAACATAGTAGTTCCCGCTGCTCCCTCGTGAAACAGCTAAAAAAAAAAAAAAAATTAAACTTGGGATCTTGTAGGCGTGGCGATTGGATTTCAGCCGTGGCGGCCCGCCACGGCTACGCCTATGTAAGGGAAACCCTGGTGTAGTTATTGTGTAAAGCAGTATATACTAGGAATGATTAATAAAAATAAAAACTAGAATTGAACCTGAGTTACATAGTAATAACAATTTAAGAACTCAGAAACAATAATACACTAACTTACTAATTAATTACCATGTAAGTACTAAGTAAATAGAGGACTGTAAAAAAAAGCGCTACCAATAATTGTACTTAATATACTTTTATGTTTGTGTGCTATGTTCTGTGTCAATATTCTTTGATTTTATTTTACACAACATGATGTGACATTTTATCTATTTCATTTCACTTGTGATTGTTTAACTATGTGAAGCACATTGGGCTACCGTTTTGTGTATGAAATGGGCTATATAATAAACTTGACTTGAGAGAGAGTTCACAATCATGTTTTGTTACTAAATGAGACACTCAGCTGAAACTGGGGGAAATATATGATGAATCTAAATCACAGGAGATGTCCAGAGTTTTTAAAGCCTGTGTTCATCATGTTGTGGGGGACCACAATGAGGCTACACTCACACCCAGTTCTTGGTACCACAAACGTATATATGTAACCTAGGCAACGCTGGAGCGACAGAGCTCCAGCGTCACGCGGAGATTCACAATGACACAGGTGGAGAGCGAGGGTGCAAAACCAGAGGGACAGAGACACCAGAGAGCAGAAGTTTGTCTGCAACCTCTTTTATTAACTAAATAAAAGCCCTCGTCTAAAAATATACAACTAAAACATTTGAGTCCATAAAAGCAGTTCAAAACGTTCTTCAAAAAGACCCCAAAAGATAGTTGGGCTCCTCCCAGATCCACAACATCACGCGGAGGGAATTTCCAGGATGGGAAAGGTGGCGTCCCGGCTTCAGCGTCCGACTCCAGCAGTCTCTGGTCTCGCTCCCAGCAGACACTCGTCTCCGGCGTGATCTCCCGGGGGCTCTCGCCGCTTCTCCCTGACAAGGACAGAACACTGGGGCAGAACTTTTGTCTGTGACGCAGTGCAATCTCTTTCTCGTAGGATCGGCCCATACGGCGCGTCACCCAGCATACAACAGAGGAAGCCGTTTACTCACGGATGCAGGCAGAGGTCCAACCTCTGCCCTGCTGTCATTCAAAGGCGTTGCTGCCACTCATTGTCGCTGCACGCCAGGGATGAACCGGTCCTCCTGCGATCCAACGCGTTCTGTGCTACGTCCACATATATTAGTCCAGTCCCTCTGCCTTCTTGTTTCTTTGGTCTCTTTTTCCTCTCCCCTCCCACAGTTCTGCTGCTTCTTACCTTTATCAGCCTGCTAACTATGCGCACCTGGTGCGCTCTCCCAGTCACGCCCACCTCTTCAGGTGACTGTCATGTCAACAGTGGCAAAACAATCTAAACAGGCACATAAAACCAACAACACACGACAAAATCATGCAATAACACAAAACTGTTAAGAAATTCCAACAATTAATAAAAGAATTTAAAGCAACAGAAAAACACACATTCCACTGTGTGACATCCCCCCACATTTTAACTGTGACAGTCCCTGATACATCACTCCAGTGGACAATAACATGCTGGTGGCTGACCAAGGTTAGACCTTGCGGAACGCCGAAGTTCTGGCAGTCCTTCAGGCTGCAAAATAAGCACGTTGGGCATAACACAATAGAATGGAGGCTCAATTACCGTCTCAACCCCTGGGCCTACCTCATCTATCGGTTGGATACTGTCCACTGCTGGGGTGTTGCATAACTTTAATGCATTTCGGTGAAGGACTCTCTCTCTTCCCCCTTTCTCTGGCTGCACTTTATACACCACACCTGTATCCCCGACTCTTTCCACTACAACATGTGGTTCTGAGGCCCAACCTGGGTGCAACTTTCCTTCCCCCTGCCTGTTCCTGTCCCTAATCCAAACCCTCTCTCCTGGTGCTAATGGCAGAGCCTGTGCCCTTTTGTCATAGACCTCCTTGTTTTGGTTGACAGCAGCCACCATATTTTTCCTTGCTGTTTCATAAGCAAAAGACAATTTTTGGTGGTGGTCTCTAACCCATCCTCCAAGATCATAACAAAGTGATCCCTGTTCCACTCCTAGGTTAACATCCACTGGCTGTCTCAAATGCCGCCCAAACATTAGGTATGGTGGAGCGTACCCTGTGGCGCTATGAACTGTGTTATTGTTTGCCTGCAACAGCTCGGTGAGGAGATCTGGCCACCTCTGCTGTCTCTCTGCCTTAAGTGAACGCAACATATGCAGTAGTGTCTGGTTCAGTCGTTCAACCCCTCCATTTCCAGCAGGATGATATGTTGTGGTTTTACTCTTTGGGATGCCATAACACCTGAATAACTGATACATTAGTGCAGACTCAAAACTAGCCCCTCTATCTGAATGTAGCCTGGCAGGACAGCCAAAAGGCTGGATCACATGAGTCCATAGGGCATGTACTGTCGTCTGTGCGGTCTGATCTTTAGTGGGAACTGCCCAAGCATAGTGTGTGAAAAGATCAGTCATAACCAAAATGTTCTGATATCGGTCTGTGGGCCTCCCTAATGTGAGGTAGTCCAGGGCCACAACGTCCAGAGGATACGAGACCACAATAGGCTTTAGTGGGGCTCTAGGCTGATCTCTATTTTGCAGGCTACAGGCAGCACAACCTAGATGGAACCCACGCACCTCATTCTCCATGCCGGGCCAGAAAAAGAAACGACGTATTCTGGACAGCGTCTTCTCCACACCTGCATGTGCAGCCGCCTCATGGTATTTCCTCCACACCTCTTCCCGCTTTCCTACAGGGCAGAGGACTTGGAACATTGTTTCATTGGTGTTGGTGTCCATTACCTCCCTACAGAGCACTTCCCCACGAAGCCGAAGCCTTCTCCACTGGTGCAACCACTTCTGCACAGACTTGGGCAGCGTTCTTCTCACCCCCGCATCAGGGAGTGTCCCCTGAACCACGTACTGCTTCAGTATTTGTAGTTCCCCATCTTGTTCTTGAGCGTCCTTCCAGTCATCCATCTGTGGCAAAGGCTCCTGTCGCTCACTTAAGAGGACGTTACAGGTGGTTGCACGGGCTGCTTGGCAATCTGCTGGAAACCTGGAAAGGGCATCAGCATTAGTATTTTCTTTTCCCGCCCTGTACTTGATTTCAAAATCAAAGGAAGCCAGTTGTGCCACCCAACGTTGTTCTGCTGCCCCCAGTCTGGCAGTATGAATGTGGGCAACTGGATTGTTATCTGTATACGCCACAAACTTTGCCCCTGTCAAATAGTCCTTGAACTTCTCTGCAATTGCCCATTTTAGGGCTAAAAGTTCCAATTTGAACCAGCTGTAG